TTGACTCCTAACATTGGACAGTAGTACAGCTTCTGTTAAATAGGCCTCCAGAGGCAAAGGAAGGGAGAGGTTTACCAGAGCTCTAGAGTTTGAATCTGTGGTCATTTTATAGGCCACATCTGGGGTTAAAAGTCTTGCATTATGTGTCTTAATTCTTCAAAGGATTTTTTTTTTAAATTGCCAGTTAAGTCATTCTTGCCAGGTTTATGCTTGTTGTATATATAAGTATTGTGTTTTATATATATTTAACTGTGATGATGTACTGTGTCAGTTTTAATAGCCTTAATTTTAGGTGTCTGCATTACTCATGAGAAATAGAACACATGTAAAATATTAAACCCATCCCAAACAAATGCTAAGTTTTATTCTTAAAAATGTCAGTACTTCAGGGCTGGGGAGATGACTCAGAGGTTAAGAGCACTGGGTGATCTTCCGGAGGTCCTGAGTTAAATTCCCAGTTACCATGTGGTGGCTCACAAACCATCTATAATGAGATTTGGTCCCCTCTTCTGACATGACATGCCAGAATGCTGTATACATATTTTTTTTTTAAAGGCCAGTATTGCATTTTAAATTGGGATGAGACAAGAGAAAGGACCATATGATCCAGTTCTAAAACATTTGTGTTGTTTGAGAAAAATAGTAGTAGTTATTTTAAAGACAAACTTCTTGATGTTTAATCATAAAATTAAAATTATGAATTGATAGAATTAGGAGTACTTTTCACTAGATTAATGATGAACTTGAAATAAAATTTCCAAATTGACATTTAGTTATCACTAATCTCTTAAACAGTGCTGTATTTAGCATTTGAATTTTCACATTTAAGATTGTGATGGTTTGAATAAGAATGGCCCTATAGGCTCTTATTTGAATGCTTAGTCATCAAGGCATGGTGCTACTTGAGAAGGATTAGGCAGAGAGAGGCCTTGTTGGATGAGCCATTGTGGGTAGCTTTGAGGTTTCAGAAGCCTAAGCCAGGCCCAGTGGCTCTCTCTTCTGCTCTCTGTTAATCCAGATGTAGAATTTAAAGTTCCTTCCCCTTGTCTACCTGTATGTTGTCGTGCTCCCTGCCATGATGGAGTGATGGATGGACTAAACCTTTGAAATTTATAAGCTAGCTCCAGATAAATGTTTTCTGTTATAAGAGTTGCTGTGGTCATGGTGTCTCTTCACAGCAATAGAACACTGACTAAGGCAAAGATTAAACACTGTTTCTTTTGACTTGACTTTAATTTGTGATTAGGTTTTCTTTATAGTTATTAAGGGAAGAAGATACTAAAGTTAATGTACCATTGTGAAACCAGTCATGGAAGGCAGTTTCGGCTCAGTGGCCAATGAACTTTAATCTACTGGTTAGCAGAAGATGAATAAGAAAGCTCCCAGAAGGACCCTGCCTTTGTATAAAGCTGACTTATTAGTGTTTTCTCATTGACCACAGAGAATTTAAACCACTGCTGCTTCTGATTTCCTGAGCCATTTCTGTGACAGCAAGCAGCAAACTGCTAGCATGTTGAGCTGAATATTGTATGCCAGTTCTGAGGTCAATTCATTGTTTCTTTTGGATTTTTCCTAAAAAAGCATGCAGGCAAATTATAATTAAGCTTATATTTCCCTATTTCAGTTTTACTTTAATACATGGAATATTGAACATTATTGTATGCTCCTACTTAAGATCTTAATTTATTGCCCATCAGAACATCTTGCAATGAAATAAATCACATTATTACTTAAAAACAAACAAAAAAACCCAAAACACTTGCAGCTAGTAGTTGCCTGCTTCTTACTGTTCTATAAAATGGTAATGTCTAGTCTCTGGGTGTCATGATCTATGAGTTGGTATATGTGAAACATTTAGCCTAATGCCTGGCATAGGAGAACACAGCATTAACTAACACTAATTCTGAAAGGCATTTTTATATAAGTACTATGAAAGGGACTACAAAGAGAAGAAAGATACAATTCCTGTGCTTAAGCTGTTTACTCACCTTTTCAGTGACCACCAGAGGATGCTATTGAATGGTGATGTGGGAGTCTTATGGGCCTTGTCAGAAAGCTCCAACCCCAAGGAGCTTAGATTTGGGTATAGCCAAGCAGTAGAAGGAAGATTGAGTTCCCTTCTTTAGTCCTGGGGATCAAGCGAGACAAGTATTCTACCACTGAGCCTTTTTAAAAGTATCTATACTTTCAGAAAATATACATAGAACTAAGGAAGGAGAAAGGGCACCTCCTAAACATCCAGAAAACAGACTGCCTAAAAAGCTGAACTAGTAGTAAATCACTGAAAAGTGGGTTTTTTTTCTTTCATATTAAAATTTTTATTTGTCCATATGGTTGTGTGATCAAGTTATTAAACTGTTTTTTGAATCATGATGTTAATACAGACGTGACAGGACTACATAAAGCTGCCTGTAATACATAAAACTGTGCCGAAAAGTTTTAACATAACTTACCACAAAGCAAACTTTTAAAGTTTATACCATAGCTTGCTTATATTTAGGGTAATAATGTATTATTATTATCCTGACACAAATCATTTAAAAAATTTTTTTATGTGTATTGCTGTTTTTGCCTGCATGTGAGAGTCAGCTCTTGTAGTTACAGACAGTTGTGAGCCACCATGCAGGGAATCCAGCCTTGGTCATCATACTGCTCTTGACCACTAAGCCATCTTTCCAGCTCCCCCACCCACATTTCAATTTTCTTCTCAGTTTAAAAGCAGATGCTAGGTGTTTCCACAATAAACATACAAAATGTGAAGCCATACTTCACTATTCTTCCACTATGTTTTGATTTATGTCACCTTAACTTTTTTTTTAAACTTGAACTCATCTGCCTGCCTCTGCTACCACCATGCCTGGCTTACTTTAGTTTTTTGCTAACTTTCTAAAATTTTTTGCTGTATAAATTTTTTGCAGCTACCTAAGAAAGAGTAGGATATATATAATTTTCCCCGTTAATTTATTTCTATACATATAAATATTTAGCCTGCATGTTTGACTGTGTATCATGAGCATGCTAAATATCTGTTCAATTCTGAAGAAAGTGTCAGACTTCTGAGAATGGAGTTAAGCCATTGTATATATGTACCACATTTTCTTTACCCATTCCTCAGCTGTGTGTATTAGGTTGTTTCCATATTCTGGCTATTACAGATAAAGCTGCTATGAGCATAGTTAAGCAAGTGTCCTTGTGGTATGATTGAGCATCCTTTGGGTATACTCCCAAGAGTTGTATTGCTGGGTCTTGAGGTAGATTGATTCCCAGAGTCCTGAGAAACCACCATATTAATTCCCAGAGTGGCTGTAAAGTTTTCATTCCTACTAGCCATGGAGGAGTATTCCCTTTACTGCACATCCTCTCCATTATGAGCTGTCAGTTGTATTTTTGGCCTTAGCCATTCTGACAGGTGTAAGATTGAATCTCAGAGTCATTTTGGTTTGCATTTCTCTGATGGCTAAGGATATTGAACATCTGTTTAAGTGTTCCTCAGCCAATCTAAAATCTTGTTCAAAACATCATGTGTCCATTAACATCAAGACAAAAGGGATCATTCAATTCAACAGTGATATGAGGCAGAGCGACCCCCTCCCCCTTACTGCCATAGGCTTTTCTAGATACCTCCCTTATGCACTGGAGACCCAAATGATGTCAGCCTCATATGAGTGAGGCTTTAAAAATTCCTTTCTGGCCGGGCAGTGGTGACACATGCCTTTAATCCCAGCACTTGGGAGGCAGAGGCAGGCCACTCTCTGAGTTCAAGACAAACCTGGTCTACGAGAGTTAGTTCCAGGGTAGCCTCCAAAGCCACAGAGAAATCCTGTCTCACCCCCCCCCCCCCAATTCCTTTCTGTTCTTCCATTCTTTGCCTTTGGTAGTTGCTTCTGCAAAGTCACTTGAAGCCTGGGGCCACTTCTGTACTACCAGGATCTTCAGGGCACATTGATGTCTGTGCAAGGGTCTTTGTGGGGCAAGGAAAGAGAACCTCACAGGAGCCATAAGAGTCGTAGATACTCTGGAAGAAATGCTCTTAGAATAGAAGAGTGCTTACAGCCTGACATGGGAAGCTCCTGAGAAAGCTGCATCTGCTGGAGGGAGTAGTGTTGGGACACAATTTCTGAATCCTTTCTCTGTCGTTGATTACATCAAATAAGATGAAGAGGAAACCTCTTCAGGGCCAGCCAGCCAGGCCACTTCAGAAACTGATTCCAGAAATTTCAGGTTTCCCACTTAGGCCCAATCTAGGGTCCCAGTTTCATTTTTGTTAAAGATACAGACTTCATTACCAAAAAGAACAGTGACTATCATCCATAGACTGTAAGGACTTTTCATATTTAAAGTCATTCTCTCGCCTGATCTACTTAACATATACTCACCTTCCTGTCCAGCCAGCCAATCCAGGAAGCTTTGCTGCAACAGAAACGGGGGGGAGGGGGGGCGCAGATGTGTATAGTAATTGCTTTTCCCACTTTACATTTTGTATGTTTATTGTGAAAGGGAGATCTATAACTTAGCGTCTGCTTTTGAACTGAGAAGAGACGCCATTGGGATTTGTGTCAGAATAATAATACATTGTTACTCTAAATAAGAAAGAGCTATGTTAGTAAAACATTTAAAGTTTTGCTTTGTGATAAGTTAAAACTTTGGGAAGTTTTGGTTTAGTTTTTCCTATGTTTAGATGATTTTTCTCTTTCTTCCTTGGTTCTGTGTGTATTTTCTAAAATTACAGCTGCCTCCCCAATGTGCTTATGATAGTCGAAGTGAACATACATAGTGATGTTACAGAGGTTCAGACTTTCAGAGCTGAGTGTTTTGTGTTTTTCTTCAGGGTTTCTCTGTGTAGCTCACCTGGGATTAAAGGCACGTGCCCCCATTGCTTGGTACTACTTTCTTAAATAAGTTGCTTTAGGAACTTACCATATTGGATTAGTATTAATATCCAGTTGAGTTTTTTTTCCTTGTCTCTACCAGTTAATAGTAGTGTTATTATTTTCCTGCAGATGCAAAGTTTACAGGGCGGTACAGAAGCTATAGCTCAGTTGGATCAGCTAGAGGCTGATTATTATGATCTGCAGCTTCAGTTGTATGAAGTACAGTTTGAAATCCTGAAGTGTGAAGAGTTACTATTGACTGCACAACTGGAGAGCATCAAAAGACTCATATCAGGTATTGTGTGCATTTACCCACAGATTCCACAAAAGTTAGAGGACATGGAAAAAGAATGCATGGGTCCCAAGACTTAAGACTTTAAAAAGTAGTCCTTGAACTGGAATGATTTTTGTGGATTCAACCATTCAGGCTGCTTGTTGGTTTTGAGTATTTTTGTAGCATACCTACTTTGTTAAAGGATGCTTCCCCTAGAATCAGAATTTTTGTAGTTTTGCAAAAGAAGAATTAGGTCTTTATTTACTGAACACTTACTGTGTACCAGACACTTAAAAATGTTGTATAATTTAGTCTGAGGTCTATTTCCTCTCCTTTTAATCACTGGTTAATAAAAAAGCTTGTTCCTAACCACAACTTTGTGACAGAAAAGAGAGATGAAGTGGTATACTATGACACTTACGAAAGCATGGAAGCCATGCTGGAGAAGGAAGAGATGGTGGCATCTGTGCATGCACAGAGGGAGGAGCTCCAGAAACTGCAGCAGAAGGCACGGCAGCTGGAAGCAAGAAGGGGGCGTGTCTCAGCCAAGAAAGCCTACCTCAGAAATAAAAAGGTACGAAAAACTTGTTTTCGTTGAAGTTGTGATGATTTATCATCATTGCCTCCGTTTGTAAAACTAAGTTGCCATGATCTATTCTTAGTTTCTTTCATTAAACAATTGTGTTTCTCTTATAATTGACCTCCAACATACATCCTAACAGCCAGTATTGGTTGTCCAGCTGTTCTGAGGGTGACTCTGCAATGCTAAAATATTCTGATTGGTGATGTCAGTATTCTAAATCTTATTTAGTGAGGTTGGGGGTGTTAAGAGAGTACTGAGGCACTGCCATTAGGTTAGACTGATCTTAGTGGCCACTTCTGAACCTCCAGACATGTAGAGATGGGTTTTAGTGGGTTTAGTGAGCTAGTCCTCATCACTCTGTGCGTCTGAGTAAAACGAATAGATAAACTTTGCCTCAGTCTAAATCTCACTTTAATTAAAACATTTTTCCCCCCTAGGAAATTTGTATTGCAAAACATAACGAAAAGTTCCAGCAGCGTTTTCAGAGTGAAGATGAGTATAAAGCCCATCACACAGCACAATTAGTAAGTCAGGACTCTTGGAACAGAAATCTTACATGTGTCTGGAAGGCGCACAAAGCCCACAGTATGAGAATTGTGTCACTGCATGTTAGTGACTGTGAATGTGTATATTTGAATGATTGAATGAATGAATGAATGTTTGTTTTTGTTATAAAGCTGTTGGTCAATGGCTAGAGCTCTGTCTTAGCTATTAACTCATTTCTATCAAAGTGTTTCCAACTGGTCTTTCCAGAGAGAGTGTCCAGACCTCTTATTCCTCTCATGGCCTATATCTTGACTCCCCTCTACTACATCTCCCAGAATCCTCTTTGTCTCCTAGTTCCACCCATCTGTTTTCCTGTTGGCTAACAGTACTTTATTCATTAACCAATAAGAGAAACAGAATTATCTCCTATCAACTTTTCTCTCCAAAATAAAAAGAAGGGGTTTAACTTTGACATGTAGTAAAATATATAACAAAACAGTTAACAATAATTAGCCCAATAACATTATCAGGAATTAAAGAAAATATTTTATCATATATCCTATCTTTATGGGTCTAAAGTCTTATATGTAACTTATCTTTAATCCTAACTAAGGAAAACTTATTATAACCATAACTATCTATCTTCAACTCCATCAAAAACCACAGGAGGATAGTATATAAACTCTAGATGAGAGAGAGACATCTTGCTGCTTGGTCAGTCACCTGAAGTTCTTCTGTAATGTTTCATCTTCAGCCTATAGGAAACTTTAAACTGTCTGCCAGTCACTTTTCTCTGTGTCCTGTAGACTGTCTGGCAGACTCTTCCATGAATCAGGAACTCTGTAACAATGTCCATCTTGTTTCAGCAGTCACTTTTCTGTGGGCCCTGCATGTCTAGTTTATAGAGCACAAAGTCAAACAGTCCAGACAAGAGCAGTATCTTGCCCAAATGGCTAGTTTTGCCATATTGGGAGTAAACGCCATAACGAGTTTCTTGGATGTCCATCTTCCTTTTTGATGCAGGTGGTGTTGCCAGGAGCAATTGTGTCTCACTATCAAGAAAAACCCTAAACCATTTTAAATGCCATATTTTGTAGGTCTCTGAAAGGTTTGAAGAATGCCTATTCACTTGAAATATATCTCTATATAGCTATAAAAACCTAACAAACTTAGCTATACATTTTGACTATTATAGGTAACTATAATTTGTACATAATTATACATTACATTTTAAAATGAGGTATATAAACACAATACTTAAACAAGAGGAGAAATATACTTATCACAAAATTGACCTTAAATTTGTTACCAATAAATGAAAATCCATTCCAATGCAAAGTATTCATTTCTATACCATAATCCCCTTTTACCTTTAAAAAAAGATCATTGTGATCATTAACCAACCCCACTTAAATGAAAACAAACATGTATAAACAGTATTTGGGAATTTTGGCATTGTTCTTTCCAAACTGCTTCCTGCTGGTAGGGTACGCTGTAATACCATGGGAATCCTAAGAAGACACAGAAATCCTGGCTGTAGTCTGTAAGGCTGCTTTCTGTCCCAGCTGTTTTGAATGTTGGATCACCTGGAACACTGTTTTAGGGGGTCTTGTTTGATCAAACCATGGTAGTCTGGAAGGAATCCACAGCTTTTTATTTTCAGAGAGAGTCTGGACTTATGTCTCTCACGGCCTACATCTTGACTCCTAGGTGCCCTGGAACCTTGTAGACTAAGCTGCCCTCAAACTCATTGAGATCTGCCTGTCTCTGCCTCCCAAGTGCTGGAATAAATGTTTGAATGAATAAATGAGAGATCTAGTTTAGGAAATGAGAGATCTAGTTCCCATGTGCCACTCTTAGCTTCACCTTTAGCTTTCTGTTACCACCAAAGTTGTACATGTGTTAGCAGCAAGTCAGTGTTGACACGTCATTTCTGTCTAAGCCTGTTGATTATGTTGGAGTTCTTTCCTGGTGCAGTAAGGTCTTACAGACATGAATCTGACAGAATCAAACAGGTTCCTTTCACTGCCCTGTGTGTGTGTAATGTACAGAGTGTAGCATATTCAGGTTGATGTATTTCACTTAGTAAGGCAGGGTAAGATGAAATGTGCCAGTTGCACTTACTCAGCAATAAATGAGAGCTCTATGTTGTCATACCCTCTCCGGCTTTGGCTCTTGTCAGAATGTAACTGTTTTAATGATTACTGGTATCTTAATGGTTTAGTTCATATTCCTAAAAGACAAGGTGCTGAGCATGGTTTTTATATGCTCACCTGCCACATGTATATTTTCTTTAGTAAAGTCCTCGTTCAGATCCTTGCTCAGGTTTGCTGTTAACTTTTTGGGTTGTTTGGTCTTGGTAGGATTTCATGTGGAAATAGCTCAGGGGAAATGAGAGTTGGTTTCAGGCATGTCGGTTTTGAATTGTCTTTAAAAAAAAAATCAAACTCAACCATCAACTCCCTCTATTTCATAATGCTGTTATGTTTACATCCTTTGTGTTGGACCTTATTTAGAGCTGCTCTTAGATGCACATAGCTCCATCTGGCTTATAAGCATCAGATGTGAGGGCCCAGAGCCTTAGATTACAAGTGATTATTGTCTCTCAAAGCCTGTTTGGAAGCTGAAGTTATCTTTATTGGAATTTCTTAGGTGATAGGTTATTTAAAATATAACATCCTAATAGTTTAAATAGTTTTTCATAGAAACCATGCAATTAAATATCTAAGGTAGCTTAATATTAACTCAGAAAATGAACTAAAGAAAGCACCAAGTGTACTTGCTGACCAGTGCCACCCCAACAAATGGTAAACAAGAAAATTGTGGTCAGAAAAAAAAAAAAGTTACCTTTCCCCATTAAAAATATCACCCACCGTTGTATATGGTGGTGCACAACTATGGTTCTAGAACTTGGCAGACAAAGGCAGGAAGATTACTGAAAAATTGAGGCCATCATGGTCTACATAAAACTGTTTTAAATCCAAGACAGAAAAAAAAAATGCTTGAGCAGTGCCTGGTGGCATATACCTGTAATCTTAGCAGCATTCTAGAAACTAAGACAGGAGATATGACTCCAGGCATGATAGTCCAGTAAAACTGCCTGAAAATGTTAAAAGCTCATGGCTGGGCCACAGTTAGTGCCTTGATCAACCCTCCTCAGCTGGACAGGGTGTGGGCCTTTGGAACACTCAGTCCTACATGGCCGTCTTCCTCAAAGCCCTCCTCGAAGGTCAGCAGACTGTATGGAAGAGGAGATGGCACGATTCTAGGAGCCAGAGGTTCTGGATGATTGTATTCCAGATATATATAGCAGGATAGGTGCATTAGTAATTCACAAGGTCTGGCAGCATGCACAAGACATGCATAGGCTAAAGCTGGATAGGGTCTCAGCACCGGGAGGGGGAAGTGGATTTGGGTCTCACCTCTAACTAACCAAGTATGTGGGGTGTAGTCTTAGGCAGAAGATATGTTTTTCAAGACAGGGTTTCTCTGATTTAGAGCCTGTCCTGGAACTCACTCTGTAGACTAGGCTGGCCTCAAACTCACAGAGATTCACCTGTCTCTGCCTCCCAGTGCTGGAATTAAAGGTGTGCATCACCACAGCTAACTTTATATTTACTTTTATTGTGGAGCTTAAAGCAGGTTTTCTGTTTGTTTTCCTGTGTGGAAATCTTGAAGATGATGTAGTGAGTCTGCATCTGAGACTTAGGAAGAGAGTCCTGGCTTTTGTATCTAGTAATAAGTGACTCAGCTAATTTAATGCCAAGTGTGCTGTTCATAATTCCTTGTCCCATGTCATAATCCATAGAACTAATATTTATCCAAAGGATCTGCCCCACTACCAAGAGGCACGAAGTATATCTGGCAGTTCTACCCATTAGGAAACAGGTCATTCCCTAATCAGTATCAATCAGTCATCAGCCCTTCAATCACATAGTTAACACTACTTCAGCTATTCATCCTTCTGCCAAGAATGTCACTTAAGAGACTGGATGCTGTTTGGAGCTTGCTATACATGCTGCCTGCCTGCACAATTTAGGAACTTTATTCAAGCCTGGCATTGGTGGCGCATGCCTTTAATCCCAGCACTTGGGAGGCAGAGGCAGGTGGATCTCTGAGTTTGAGGCCACCCTGGTCTACAGAGCTAGTTTCAGGACAGACTTTAAAAGCAATAGAGAGAAGTCGTCTTGAAAAACAAACAAACAAACAAAAAAAACTTTATTCATACATGGGTTAAAACTACTGTTCTCTAAAGATAGTGTCTGTTATCAAAGTTCCTTCTTGCCAACAGATCCCATGTTGGTTAAACTTGTGATCCTTCCCGCCTCTATGGAGAAGCCCCCCATTCTAGCTAATCATAATGCATGCCTGTGAATTCAAGGCCAACCTGAACTCTATTGTGAGTCCTTGTATCAAAAACCAAGTATTGTGGTTCAGTAAGCCCTGACCTAGCATGAGATAAAAGATATGTAGTTGACATATAAAATAATAAATGACAGAGAACATGGAGTTGGTTGTTCTTTAATAGACTCTTACTATGTTTGGATATTTTAACAAGTTACATGACTTTCTGGTGTGTGACCTTTCTATATTTTATGTCTATTTATAAATTTTGATCATACATCAGATGTTAAATTCTGGTGGTGGCGGCACACACTTTTAATCCCAGCGGATGGTTACACAGAGGAAAACAAAAAAAGGATTTAAATTTATAAAGTTTTGATTTAACCTCTTGACAAGCAGAGTCTGTCTCAACTAGTTGAAAACCCTTATTGTATATAATATATAAAGTGATACATGATCATTATAGGGAATAAGTGGATTCCAGAATGAATTGTTGCTACTTTTAGCAAGAGACTCTGAAAGAATGCTTAGCATTTTATAGATTTATTTACGAGGCTAGTTGGAAAAGCATTGAGTGTTGGGATCAGTGCATTGGGCTGTGGAAAGTAAAGCAACTGTATGTGCATTTGGATGTACAAATATCAGTGTTTAGCTTAGAAACAATTTCATCTCACTTTATCAGGCCAGTGTGAACTTACAGGGAGTAGAGTATTTTACATCATAAAAGATTTTATCCAATGAATCATTCTCTAAAAATCATTTAACATATTGGGGGAAATCTTTTCTTTCTCCCTTGAAAATAGTAAGATAAATTGTGCACAGTGTAATGTGTTCTTTTGTTTTACCAGAAGAGAGAAAAATTACATGATGAAGAGGAAAGAAAAAGTGCCTGGGTTAGCCAAGAGAGGCAAAGGACCCTCGATAGACTCCGAACATTTAAGCAGGTAATAGAAACTCACTCTATTGATTGGTTTTCATTCCTTTTCAGAGAGAGCCATCATACACTCCTATTAGGCGATTTCTGGTTAGAATGTAGTCCAGCCATAGTAGTTCGGTCGTCTCCCTTTGCTGTGACTGAGTCTGACAATAATTTTCTCTAGACCCTGGTGTACAGCTTTAGTAGTGCAAACAATGGACGGCCTTCTGTCGAAACAAAAAAAAGCCAATACTACAAAAAACTTCACTGCTTTGTCCCCCTTCTATCATAAAATTATTATCAGGCATTTGAAAAAGTGCCTTGACACCCCCCCCCTTTTTTTTTTTTTTTTTTTAAAGGTTTCAACTTTTTTAATATAAGAATTTGAAAATAAAAGGTAATACTGTGTTTGTCTTGAGTTTTATATACTGGTTTTTTTTTTTTTTTTTCCCATTGAAGATTTAAAGTCATGTGGCTGGTTTTCTTGTTTGCCTATGAGATATTACATGCATACACATTGTCTAGACTGGAATGTATGTAGACCAGGCTGGTCTCAAACTCATAGCTATCCACCTGCCTCTGTCTTTTGGGTGCTGGAATTAAAGGCAAGTGCACCCCAATGCCCTGCACATGCTGTTTTTAAGCATTTGGCTTAGTTGGGTAAGAGGGAACAAGGTTTATTATCTGATAGCAGGCAAAAACAGTTGGTGATAATTGTTTGAAAGGTATTGAAAGTTTAGGCACAGGTATTCTAGTTTTCCTGGTTGTCTTTTTGCCTATCCCTTGGGGAAAAAGTCAGGGGGGAAAAAAAAAGCCAATAATAACATTGTGTTAAAGGGCAGAATCACTGAGCATTGGTTGACAATCATTTTAATATAACATACTCATACAGTAACTCTGGTGTTTTAGAGGTACCCTGGGCAGGTCACCCTTAAATCAACTAGACTAAGAGCGGCTCATGCCAGAAGAAGAAGTCCAGCAAGTCCCGTGCCCTGTGATCAGCAGTGTGCCTCTCTAGTAGGAGCTCTGCAAGGAGAGGAGAAGACAGAGGTTGGGGAAGAAAGAAGCCAGCTCCAGTCTTCAGAGGCAGCAGAGCCCCGGAGCCTTGTCCATCCTGAAGACACTTCGTCAGTACAACTTGAAGCCACTTCATTACCTCCCAATGCTGTTACCTCTGAACCGCCTCCCCCTTCATCGCTTCCACTTTTGACTAGTAATGACCTCAAACCATGCTCTGCTACAGTGGATCCACCCCTGCCCCCTCTTCCTCCAACACCTCCCCCTCCCCCTCCACTGCCTCCACCCCCACCACCACCCCTGCCTGTTGCAAAGGACAATGGTGCCACCACCACTTCAGAGACCCTGGAGAAAGAGATGCTTAGACAGGAGGGCAGTGAGAAGAGGATCCCAAAGTCAGCCAGCGCCCCATCAGCACAGCTCTTTGATAGCAGCCAGCTGGTCAGCGCCCGGAAGAAGCTGAGAAAGACTGCTGAAGGGTTACAGAGGAGGAGAGGTGAGTGAACAGGGCCTGTCTGAAGCCCAGGGAAGGACCTTTGCATTGAATTCTGGGTTGCAAAGCCTTAAAGTTAGTTTTTGAATGTGATTTGACAACAAATGGCACCCAAGGTCACAGCAGAGAATTCTTAGCGTCTTACCTGAGCTGTTAGGCACATTGTTAAAATATCCAAGTGACATTTGACCTATATGTTAGGTAGGTAGTACTTTTGATGATTAACTTGAATGTGTCCCTGACTAGCTTAGTGGTGGAGCTCATGCTATTGATGATGATGATAATGACGATGATGATGATGAAGACATATGTAAGAAAGGGTTTGAAGCCACTAAAGAAGGAAAGGAGATTATATGTACCATTTATCACATTTCCAGTATGCTTCAATAAAGTCATTTCTAAAAAATAACACATCTTTTCTTGCCTTTGAGGGACTTTAAATTTGCATGGGGCAAATAATGGAGAGCATATTACATATTAATCTGAGAATATTCTGTAAAATATTTCATACCACAATTTGAATAGACTCTCCTGTGTGAAATAACTAAACGAAAAAGCACATCAACAGTGAACCAAGATTAAATTGTGTGTGTGTGTGTGTGTGTATGCATATGCACATGTGTGCGTGTGCACGCAGTGCAGTGCTATGTGATGCAGTGAGTGTGGTGCAGGGTGTGCTTATACGCACTTGGTTTTTCATGTTGAGCCCGAGTCAATTTTGAGTGTTTTCTTCAACTGCTCTCTGTCTAACTTTTTGAGATAAGGTTTCTTCAACTGCTCTCTGTCTTACTTTTTGAGATAAGGTCTGTCACTGAACCTGGAGCTCACCAGTTCAGCCAGTAACCCACTTCAACCCCTCAGGCTCTGCTTGTCACCATGCATCTGCCAAGTACTGGGATTATAGGTATGCACCACTGTGTCTAGTTTTTATATGGATGTTGGGAATTTGAACTCAGATCCTCATCTTGGGCACAGCAAAGATGTTACCCCCTGAGGTGTCTTCTAGCTGTTAAAGGCTAGGCTCACAACCAAAAACATTTAAAAAAAAAAAAAAAAAAAAAAAAAGCAGGGTGGTGGTGGCTGCACATGCCTTTAATCCCAGTACTCAGGAGGCAGAGGCAGGTGGATCTCCCATGAGTTCAAGGCTAGTCTGATCTTTAGAGCACGTTTCAGGACAGCCAGGGATACACACAGAAAACAAATTAACTAATTAAATGGAACAATCACTGTCTTACTTTGTGTTGGTGGTGGATGCAGTATGGGGATCCTTTGGGAATCTCACCTATCATATCAAGACCAAGCTTTATTGGAGGTCATCAGATTTGACACTAAATACAATAATCCTAACTCTGATGTTTGTTTTGTTTTCCTAAGTGAGTTCACCCATGGATGAGGTGTTAGCATCCTTGAAACGTGGTAGTTTTCATCTGAAAAAAGTTGAACAGCGGACTCTGCCTCCTTTCCCTGATGAAGATGATAGTAATAACATCTTGGCGCAGATAAGGAAAGGGGTGAAATTGAAGAAGGTTCAGAAGGAGGTTTTGAGAGAATCCTTCACACTCCTGCCTGACACAGACCCTTTGACTCGGAGCATCCATGAAGCGCTAAGAAGAATTAAAGAGGCCTCCCCAGAGTCGGAGGAGGAAGAGGAAGCTTTACCTTGCACAGACTGGGAAAACTAGCAGGTAAAAATGACCTGCTGTCTTTGGCAGCTTGTGCCAGCTATCCAATATCCAGTGGATGCAGTATGGGGATCCTTTGGGAATCTCACCATCATGTCAAGACCATCTCCTAGCTTTATTGGAGGTCATCAGATTTGACACTAAATACAAAAATCCTAACCCTGATATTTATTCTGTTTTCCTAAGTGAGGCTGGAGTACTCTTGGCATTGTGCAAAAGGCCCTGAAATGAGTTCCTAGCACAGGGGTTCACAACTGCCTGTACGAGGATCCAATGCTCTTTTCTGGTCTCTGTGGGTACCACATACATACCCGATTCAGAGACACACACATACAAAAATTAAAAATAGAAAATAAAGAACAAAACACTTTCCTGGCCAAGTGTGATGCTCAGCATGTCTTCTTGTCTGTCTGTGGCCTATTCATTATATTGATCAGTTTCAGTGTGGATAATAGATAATGTGAACTCCAGGTTTTAACTCAAAAACATTATCTTATTTCCACCTGGATTTTGATTTGCTTTGTGCGTGCGTGCGTGCGTGTGTGTATGTGTGCGCGCGCGCATGCGTGTATATACACACACAAAATACAAATCCTTTTCCTTTATACAGTAGTTCCTCTTGTGACTAATCAGGTGGGTATGTTTCTAGAAGTCACATTCTGTATTTTTATTGGTTTGTTTTTATATCATTGTTGCAGTTATTTTCTTTACTGTATGTGCCTTTTAAGGTAGCATCTGTCTGTATCCAATATCCAGGCTGGTCTGGAATGCTTTGTGATTCTCTTGCCTCATGGTATCCATCACTCATTTCAGGGCCTCTTGCAGAGTGCCAAGAGTACTCCAACCTCAGAAAGCTCCTTTCAAAGGCAGTGGCTACAGAAATGCTGTGTGATATTCCAAGTGAAGAGATACTCTTATTTTTATCTTGACCAGAAAAGCCTTTTTAACTGAACTAAATTAAATTAAATTAGGCATATTTGATCCTTTCTTAGCTGCTTGTAACTTAAAACTATTCGGTCATACTACTGTTCCTGTGTTGTCTATAATAAACATTATAGCTTTATTTATAAATACAAGCTATAATCATCTTGAGTCCTCTGCGCAGTAAGACTGTATTTGGTTACACATATGCATTCTAATGCATTCTAATACGAAGTCTGCTTGCTTCTCTTCGTCTTTAGCTGGTCTGGCACTGGCTATATAGATCAGGCTAGTGTTTGCCTCCCTTCTTCCCACTTGCCTCTGTCTCCCTGAGTGCTGGAATTAAAGGTGTGTGCCACCAAGCCCTCTGCTGCTTTTAAATTGCATAAGTAACACTATGTTAAAAGAATAAACAGCTGTGGCACATGCTGTAAGTTATATAGTTAAAGGATTGGCAGTGGGTTCAGCTGAAATAAGATAACATGTACAGAGTGTGTAAAATGTTTTGTTTTCTGATGGACTCCATGGTATTTAGTCAAACAGGAAGACTCAACTAGACTTGGTTGTTCAGTTCTGCAATACCCAGGCAATGTTGAGGAGGTGGAGGCAGAAAGATCATGGCTTTGAAGCCAGCTATGATTACATATCAAAACTCATCTCAAAACAAAAACAGAAAAGCAAGCCCCAAGAGAGGGAACACTGTTTCTAGAGGGGTTATATACAACATCGCTTGTTTTTTAAAGCCATATATGGTGGCACACATCTTTAATCCCAGTACTCAGAGGCAGAGGCAGGAGAATCTCTGAGTTCTTTTGAGCTTGTCTATAGAGTGACCTTCAGGACAACCAAGACTCCAGACCCCATCTCAAGGGGATAGGAGGTGATAGCTTATTTTTAGATCCAGGATAGTTATCTTTGGATGGGAAGGTATACAGTGATCCCTAACTTTGTATGGTGTTAAGCATAGCCTAAGGGATTTACTAAGAAGTGTGGATTCCTGCCTTTGACCCCAATCTCACTAAGTGGATATTTAATGTATCTGTAAGTGCACATAACTTTTGAGCACTTGGCACAGTCACATATGACCAAGTCAAATAGAGCATTACTGCTAAAGCATTTCTCCCTTTTCCTCTTGAGCCCAGGAAAGGAGGAAGTTGCTGTCAGGTCCATCTGCACCAGTGTTTGTCTCGAGCTTCACAAGGTTTCTATCATGTGTTATCTAACCCTGGTTTCAGCCACTGTGGATTCTGACTGGCATTTTCTGTTACTGCTATTCATCTCACTTATTTTATAGGAAAACACTTACTTTCCTTTAAGAAATGTAGTGTAAGACAAATAAGTGTTTCTAGCTAATAGGCTAATATTCAGAGACTCAAATTGTCTTTCACAGTAGATACTTGCAGATCATCCACTTCTTTAAGGTTCTTGCTCCTGCTATATTGTCTCCTGCTTGCAGCACTCCCCACCCCACCCCCCCATATTTTCCAAGATAAGGTTTCTCTGTGCAGCTTTGGAGCCCTGTCCTGGAACTCACTCTATAGACCAGGCTGTCCTTGAATCACATAGATCCCCCTGCCTCTGCCTCCCAAGTGCTGGAATTAGAGCCACCACCTGACTGTAACTTCTCTTGCCACTAATGCTGTATCTCACCCACTTGCTGGTGATTGGGTAATTGCATGGCTGTATTTTCAGGGTTAACTATAGCTTGCTCAAGTCAGCATTTCCATGCCTGTCTTCTCCATCTCACCAGGTATTGCAGCACGATTTTGTGTAACTCAGCTGAAGTGCAGTTTATATGTCTGAGCACTGACTGTCGGAGTGTGAGGGGCTTTTAGTTCTTACAGTGTTGAAAGAAACCAGTAAATACTCAGCACATGTTGTACAACCTAGATGCTTTTAAAAGATGAATGTATGCTCTATCATTTTGCTGTGAGACAGCTGTGGCTAACATTGCCCCTAAATAGCTCTCTAATCACAAGAAAAACAAAATTGTCTTTCTCAAATTTGTCAGTATAAGGATAGAAAGAGAATGTGAGGCACAATTGTCTTTTAAGACAAACGTTAGTGCTGCTTCAAAAGTAAAAAGGAATATGTGGAATTGATTGATTTTTATTAATCTTTCTGACAGAGGGCCAAAGTGGTACCTTTTAATATACAGTTGCCATAAAACTGAAATATTACCTCTGCAATCAGCCTTCTTAGGTACTTCAAACCCAGGCTTTGATTCAAAGTCAGTGTTTATGTTGTATTTCCTTAATAGCACATCTTGGTGAAATATCTAATCCAAGCAAAATGTACTTATTGGAAAACCATTTTGTTTGAGCTTTTTAACCTAAAACTAGCTGGGTTTCAAGTACTCAGTGCCTGTGTGTAGCTTTGAATAGAAAACAGAACTGGAATACAGAAGCGTGGTTGCTTTGTGTTCATGTTTCTATGCTTCTCCTAGAGGGTCAGTTAATAGTCTGTCTCTATTGATGTTTAAAGACAACCGTAATAAGTCTTATTGTGTTGGCAGTTTGTAAAATATAATATACCCCCTGACATAAAGTATTAGCCTAAGAGTAATAGGAATTAATGTGAATCTTACACTCTCAATAGTGATCAAAATTTGTATTAAATGAATTTTGTTCTTACCTCTTGAAAAATACAGACATCACTGGGCTGAAGAGATGACTTAGTGGTTAAACCATCTTGCAGAGCCTTGTGTACAAGCCCCGATATTTACATGGCAACAGTCACAGGGAATCTGATGCTCTCTTCTGGCCTCTATAGGCACTGCAGGCACATGGTGCATATACATTCCCAGGCAAACTTTCATACACATAAAATAAAACTAAATAATAAAAAAAGTATAAGCATTTAAAGAAACTCCTACACCGTTACTATATAGCTGACTATTAAAAACAAACATACCCTACCTTTAAGAGGCATTTTGTCCTAACACATTGTGTTATTTTGTTACTAACAGGTGACTTAAAGAAGAACAATGCCCATGGATGAAGACTGGGTCTGATTCTTTTGGGGAGAAGTTTAAGCTCTTGGTCCCATATTGGATTCCATTAGACCTTGAGTGTCTTGGCAAAGTGGTGTGGAAAGGAAGCACCATTGGAGGAGGGGAGGGTGTTAACTTCCTGTTAAGACTCACTGGTAGTGGTGATGTCAGTGTTGTATGTATGTGCAATGTTCCTGACAGCTGTGAGAAGGCCTCCTGAAGATGGTTGTTTCTTACACCCCTCCTCTTCCTATCCACCCATTCCTGATCTCATAGTGGCCAGTCACACCTAACATGGGGTTGGCAGAGTTCTACTGTGTGAGCTACTTTGGGATTCATCTTTCAGTGAACTGAGAAGATAATTGCTGAAGCACAGCAGCTTCCACATGAGCTTCTAGACTAGAGTGACATGCTAAAGAAGACATTTGTCATGGTAGTTACAGTCAGGAATTAAAAGAAAATGGAATACACTTAAGATTTCCACATTTCCATCTCCAGAAATGTTCAGTATCTGAGAAGCTAATGGAGCTATATCCATTAATGTGTGCACCAAACATGACACATTTAACAAGGCATATTTTTAAGACGCCACCGTCTTACATTTTGTAAGAGTTTGAAGTTAAAATTTCCATGCCTTTAAAATAGTGTTTCATAATTCTGAATTTAGAATAGTTTGAATTTTATGTGCACCATTTATGAGAAGCAATGCTTCATAATTTGATAATGTTTCAAATTATTTTTAGTCTTTTTTTGTTTGAACTACTGCTTGATTACTATAACTCATGACTTTCCTATTGAGAATCAAAAATGAGGATTCAACAGTAGGGATACAGATTTACAACTCTTTATTATCATGCACCAGTTTTAAGTACTTATTGTTACGCTCCATGGTGAAGAGTGTGTGTTCAGAAGATAGCCAATCCCAAGAGCCTCTCACTGGCATTTCACTGTGTTCTTAGGCTTTGGATAGGGCATTAGGGGAGCATTTGTTGCTGTTACTAAATCTTTAAACGTACATACTTAGTTTGAACGCTGACTTAGCAGTATCTTAAGGGTCCATTTATGAATGGAGCTGGCATGGCTTGTCAG